AGTAGGAGTAGGAGTATTAGTAGTAGTAGCAGTAGTAGTAGTAGTAGTAGTAGTAGTATCAGTAGTAGTAGTAGTAGTAGTAGTAGTGGTAGTAGTGGTAGTAGTAGCAGCAGTGGCAGTAGCAGTAGCAGTAGCAGTTCCAGTAGCAGTAGTAGTAGCAGTAGTAGTAGTCGTGGTGGTGGTGGTGGTGGTGGTGGTGGTAGTCGTGGTGGTGGTGGTGCTTTTAGTGATAATTGTACTGGTGGTAGTAGTCGTTCCAGCAGGCGGTGCTGGTCTCAAGATTTCACTTCTCTTGTGCATAGATGTTTTTTAATTTCAAGTGTCTTGCGCATAGATGTCTTTTTGACTGCAGCTAGTAGAGCCTCGGCAGTCGAATACTTGATGCATGCATGGCTTCGCGTTCAATAACACTTGGCGGTTTCATGCAGTGTTCCGCGACCCGCGCCACCCCGAAGGTATACTTCCACGAAAAGTTCCTGAACGAGTCCTGGGAGTCACGTTGGGTCCATTCTGAGCAGACAGGCAGAGCGCTTTTTTCACACAGGTCCTCAAGATAGGGCTCCTAAGACTAGATGGACGTGGGTAGGATGGTACCAGTATCGGCCAGCAGAGCTATACCGCTTTCGAAATGATGTGGAATAATCTTGGGATGCAGAGTCGGGGGGGCCTAGGGACTGACGAGCATCCTGGGTCAACCTGGCCCCTCCATTTGGAGTTTAGAGAGGCGTGGCGTCGTTCGAGTGGTCGGCCGGGCAATGGTTTGCCAACGAATCCGAGCAGCGAGGTGCAGCGTTTGGTGAAACTTGGCCCCTGTGGACCCCACAGTAGCCTAAGCCAGAAGGTGTTCATTTCAGTATTCCTGCGAATCGGCGCAATGACAGTGCAGGGGTTGGAGGGGCAGTGATTGAGCTTCCGGGAGGCTTGAGGACAGCAGCCGCCCTCCAGCATCATGCCATCTCTGCGAAGCTGTCTCAAAATTTCTCCAACCGAGGAGGGACCAGCAAGTCAGAGTGCTGTGGAGTAGTGCAGTAGTTTTTGCCAGCTACCGGGAAGACCTGCAGTTTGGAACAAGTTAACTTAGCTAAAGTTAAAGTCAGCTATTCAGGTTCGAGGAATGTGACACTTTGGGCTTTCTCGAAAGCTGCAAGTCTGGGTGTTATGCTTGGGGGGAGGGTTGACGTGCATGAGCTCTGTTTCGCGGGCTCGTGGGCTGTATTGCAAGGCCGCGATCTGGTGCTGCAGTTCACGGTCAAACATGAGATGCTTCGCTGGAATTGCTGCCTCGTGCTTTGCAAGTCGATGCATGCCATACTGCGATGTGCTGTGCCAAGAAGCTGAGGAATGAGGATCTATCATTTTGCGGAGGTGGCTACATCAAGCTGATGGGCAGTGACCTCCACCAAAAGTCTTTTGGGCCTGACTCGCCCTACAAGATCATGCATCTCGGATGGTAGGCAGCATGTTGCTGCATTTTCTCATGGTGCCTTCTCCTGAAGCAAAAGACTGTTGAACTAATGATGCAGTCGCGACATGCTCCTCTCTGTTTTCGACTTGCCAGGTTCGGCCCGGACATTTGTGGATTTGAGACGTCTGTGGTGCACCTGGTTCTCAACTGGAAGGGAAAGAACCTGCGCAGATCTCCTGAGATTTCCCTTGGGTATGATGACCGGGACTCCTTTACGCATATCTTCACTTTTCACTTGAAGCCTGACAACACGTACAGCGTCTTTATAGACATGAAGGAAAAGTCCTCGGGAGAATTGCATGCCTTCTGGCCTTTTCCCAACAAGACGATCGACGATCCGACCGACCGAAAACCGGAGGATTGGGTTGAGACGCGACGCATTGTGGATCCTGAAACTTGGCGGTTCACAAGGTGTTTTGGAGGGAAGCATGCCTAGACAGCAGTCCAAGAACTCTGCTCTTCCCCGCCTCTCTTGTCTCCTGACATCCGAGGATGTGCAGAAACCAGAAAGCTGGGTGGATGAGCAGCGCGTGCCGGACAGCACGGCATGGAAACCTTTGGAATGGGACGACGAGGAGGACGGCTGCGCGGGTCATGCGATACACATGAGGATCTGTAGGGGGGCACGAGGTATTCCAGGCTGGGCTTGTCGGCTTCCTTTTGTGCTTTTTGCGGGAGTGCACGAAATGTAGAACTGCGAGCTTATGTGGGAACACGGTCCCTGAACTTGGCCGAGCCTCCTGCAAATTTTATTATCCCGTGGCCAACGCGCCATGGAAATTGAAACACTGTCGTCACCAGTTCCTGCATCTCACGCATGAATACCCCTGAAGCATCATGAAGCCGCTTGGCCTGCTTCGTCCTGCGCACCACCGTCTCGCCGCGCCAGAGTTGCTTCTTGATCTTGTGAGCTTTTCCGCTAGTGCTCTTCTCTCGTTCTGGCCAGGACGGGCTGTTCGAGCCGCCCTTCATTGACAACCCGCTTTATCAGGGGCCATGGTTTCCTGCTATGGTGCCTCGGCAACAGTTGGCTGCAGACTGTGCTGACATGATATTCTCTTTTGCTGCACTGCGCAGCCCAGGTGGACAACCCATCTTTTCGTGGTCAGTGGAGGCCAAGTGGAACAGCCGAAGGAAAGCAAATCGCCGGGATTCCCCACTACGAAACGGCAGAATGCAGTTGATGTAAGCCCCGGAGTCGCACGCACTCCTTCTCAATCCGACCCAGAGACCTCAGACTTGCGAGGCCTCGGCAGCGTGGAAACCCTGAGTATGACCCTCGGATAGCAGTGGCGGCCTCTGTATGCCGCCTTAGACTCAGGATGGTGTATCCTTATTTCAAAAGAGTAGGGGAGCTGGCTTGACTGGCATCCAAGGAGGAGGAAGTGTACTCCTACACTGACCTCGGGGCGGTTGGCTTCGACCTCTGGAAGCTTAGGCTTAGATTAGAGGGCGATGTTGCCCAATGTTGTCTAAATCCCTATCTCTAGATCTCTGTCGACAGCCCTTGGCCATAATATCGGATCTGTTGTAGATTTGTTTGAAGATGGAGTAATGTAAAGGACAAGGGGCCAGACAAACAAGGACGGTTCACGAGGGCTCCGTTTTCGACAACATCCTCCTCTGTGATTCGTTGGACTTTGCCAAGTCGGAAGCGACAAGACTACAGGAGGGCAGGGAGAGCAGACAGTCGCCTAGACATCCGTGCGAGCTTTGCTCTTTCTTGTTTCCTGTTCCGTTGGCAGCGATGCAGGAGCTCTTCTCCAAGGAGAAGGAAGCCCGCCGCAAGTGGAAGCAGCTGGCTGGGGATCAGGAGGCACACTTTTTTTTGGTTGGTCTGTGCTGGACAAGCTTGTATCAAAATTAATTGGAGGTAGACGTGACGATGGAGGTGCACAATAGATACTAACATACACACCGAAAGCTCGAACAGCACTGTTGATGCACCTATGCAACAGGTTCCTGCAAACGACGCCGAGCTTCCCGAAGCAGGTGTTTGGGGTATGGAGTTCTGACATGCGCGACACAGTTCGCGTGGTCAGCATTGGCAAGGTTTCGGTGAACACGGAATGGAACATTGTGCCATCTACTGGAACTCCGAGTTGTGAGCTCGAGCACGGCATTCGACCGAAGCCATCAGGAATGTGAGAAGGGACCTCGAGCCGCTGTCCAGCTGGGAAAATAAGCTGGTCAACGATGCCCTCAGAGATCCGCAGCCTGCAGCTTTCACGAACCTGCTCCACCGCTCGGAGACAGTTTGGCCTTGCGCTCTCCAAGCAAGCTCCACTGGCGGAGCCACAAAGACGTTCATCAGCTCGTTTGCCGACAGAACCATCGGAGTCGAGACGGTCCGAAAGCTGAAGTGCTCTGCATGCTTCCGCATTAATCCACATTCTCACATCCGCGAAGTTTCAGTCCATGGCTTGGCTCTCCAAGCTCAGGTCAGGAGCGCCAGAAGCGCGAGAGAGAGGAGAAGCGTGCCGCCGAGGACAGGTTTGGGGCACCCGCACTTGCTTGGGATGTATACAGGAGTTCGATGTGAGCAACAGTTGTGAGTGCCTGGAAATTTTTTCCGGTTGGCCCAGCAACGGCCATAAGGTTTTGGGTAATTTTTCGAACTGAGTCTCCTGCAGTCATGACGAGCCTCAATCCTCGCCTGCTTGTCGCGAGCGAGTGCTTAAAACTTAGCAGATGGGAGCGGAGACTTGCCGTGAAAGTGTGAGAGTCACAGCTGGCAGGAAGCTCGCCGAAGAGAGGACGAGGAACGTACGCAACCCAGTTCAGAGATTGATTCCGGCGCCGCAGGATCGATCACTTATGCTCAGGCACCTGTTGATTGGAATTTTGTGCTCAAATCCCTTGTGAATGCTATCGAGCAGTTTGCAAGCAGGCAAGCTAAATTTTCGAGAGCTGAGGTCGCGAGCGAGCAGAAGAAAAGCGTCGAGAGCGTGCCAGCAAGCCCAGACTGATGATGCATGTTCAATGGGCCTTGGGCTTGAGTCACGAGTGCAACTCGAACACGCAGAGGTCCGGTCGGCAGAGAGTGCAATCGAAGCTGCTTTTTTGTCTTGGATGGCAGTTATTCTTTGTAGCGAACCACCTGCCAGGAGCGCGAGATTGAAGAGAGGGAAGCCAAAGAGCGCGAGGCACATTCAACACGTCTAGCAGGAGCTCGCATCATGAATTATTACCGAGCCGGTTGGGTCCAGGCCGCGGCGGCAAACCGACGTGCAGGGGGCGGCGGTGGAGGTGCTGCTGGAGGTCGGGAGAGTGCTTGTCCCAAACACCCGCAGCGGGTGTTTCTCTGGATGCTCAAGCTGCCGGACCGGCTTCTGGTTAGATCACTTGACACCTCATCAAGAAGAGGAAGCCACCCTTCTCATGGAAACGTTCGGCTAGCGTGCATCAATGAAGCATCTCGCAGGCATTTTGGATTATTCAAGGGAGGGATAGCGGATAGCAGTTTTGTCTCAACATGGACAAGAGAAGTCCAGGTCGAGGCTTGGCTGGAACTTATCCGCGTGTCGGATGGTTTCCACATGCAAGTCACCAGTCAGGGCTTCGCTGCAGATCTGATCTTAGTCAATCCCTCCAAGATGCACCGGTTGTCATATAGGTTATGAGTCGATGGTTCCCTGCTTTGCGGGGGCTGGTGATATACACACTAACGCCTAGAAAACTCGAAGGAATTAGACGGGCATGCGGCAGAACTTGATATGCTGCGGAGGAAAAGTTTTGCTCGGCGTGCTGCTGGTGCTGGCATTGAGGTTAGTCACCTCGCAAGGAGGCGCCGCAAGTTACGAGAGATTGAGAGTAGGTTGCAAGTGAAGCCATGTGAAGCCTCGTGAGAGAGGGTAGTCATCTCGAGACATTGGCCTTGCAAGGCAACTTTGGGCTCGTCTTTACAGTCGGTCGGCCGCCATGCCAGCACATGCAGGTTTCTTGGCTATGCTTCTCTCGCCTTGTTGAGCTACTTGTGTGGTCGCATGCCAGTCAGACCTTAGACCGTAGCACGACATACCCAGGCCAGAAGAGCTCTGTGCCGTGCTGTTTCAGAAGCGGTTGAGGAAGCCGTGGATATTAGTGAGGAAGCCCCGGAAGATGCAGAAAACTCCGAGCTCATGTACCCTTTGTACAGTAGAACTGAGCGAAGTATGACCGTCAACGGCGAGGGTACCAAATGGTGGCCACTGACGAAAACAGCCAGTTCTATTCTCGCGAAAGAAGGGGAAGTTCAGCTGGACTGTTTGGGAGCAATCAGTGTCTACTACGGTACCGAGATCGCGTGGCTCCTGGGCGAATGGAATAACGGGACATCCGGAACATTCAGACGACTAGGCGCAGCATTAGCAGTGCGTCCAGACCTTCTGGCAGATCCAGCCAAAGGATACGTGAGGATGCGTCTACACGTGGCTCCCGTGAAAGTGCCAGAGGCGGCTCTGCAGGATATCGAGATCGAGAAGGACGTACTCAAGGCACCTAGCAAAGACGGCACGACCGCCGCTTCCTCGGCCCTTCAACGTTTAGTGCCTGGCCAAAGACTGGGATGAATTTCTTCTTTCGATTCTTTAGGAAGGGGGACTTGCGGATGGTGCTAGTCGCGACAGAACACCGAAGCAACCTGAAGCGAGCATGGAAACGTATGCTCGCAGATGGACCTAGTATCTGTTCCCTGGCCCGTTCTCACAGAGTGCAAGTCAAGGCGAAGCTTATTAAGATAAGCAAGTGCCCCAGAGTAGCTTGTGTCAGCAAGTCGAGGCCGGCGTCGGTAAATCGAGTCAGCAAATAAGCCGCTATTTCAGCAAACCAGAGGCCACAAGTCACAGGCCAACAGCCACCGCGGTCAGAGACAGGGAAGCTCCGTTCAGGAAGCCTGAAGGTTCATGTGGAAAACATGAAACAGAAACGAGTGCCTGCTCTTGATCAACAAGTAGCTGTACGCAAAGTTTCCCGGACTGAGCTCTGAACTGACCTCGCATGGCGCTTCCTTGGTGTTTGCCATTGTTTGCCGGTTCGGGCTGGGTCGTCTCCGATATTGGCTCGCTGATTTGCTGAGTGCGACTGCTGTTGATGACTTTCGTCCGGTTTGCTTGCTGATTCTGCTCCTGACCCAAGTGCTCGCTTGTAGGAAGGAACTTCGCCGGGGCGAGGAGGCGGAGCGACTTTTGGGTGCAGATCGTCGAGTCGCCATCATACTTGGCCCGGACACCGGCGGCTGGTAGTGTAGAAATAGAAACTTGAAGCTGCAGTGGAGTGGCAAGCTCAGCCCGAAACCCGACCATCAAGGTCAATGCAAAGCAGTTTTTGTTTGAGAGGCCGTGTACGAAGTTTCTTCTATCGATTCTGGAAGACTAGTCTATCGGAGGCTCTCTGACCATTCCCAGAGCCCATGCTGCACTGTTACATGCAGTACAGCAGCGAGCAATCGGAGCTGTGCTGCGTCGTCCACGCCGTAGCTTTACTCTCTGTGTACTCTCTGTCTGTGTACTGTGCTGAGGTTGAAGAGCGGGGCGCGGTGGCCATTCAAGGGGTGGGCGCAGAATCTGTGAACCGCATCATGAAGGCGATCTTCCGGGCCAACCAGCGCATCAGCCAAACGGAGGGCGCCACGTCCGACGTCCTTTGGGCTCTCCTAAGCAGAGTTGAATTGCCCGAAAAGGACGGAAAGATCAACACGGCCAGGCGCCTTACGGTCTTCAAGGCTCCGTTATGAGCATGGATAAGGCTTCGCCCCAAGTTCCAACGGCAGGATGCCACACTGGATGTATGAGCACAGACGAAAAAAGCAGTGCACACACGATAGTGCAAAGGGTGGATAGCGCAGAGCATGTCATGTGAGCTTCATAGGAACCCTTAGGAAGGGTAAGGGGGAGGGGGGTAGGGAACTATACTTGTCCCAGTTGTGAGTGCTGGAATAAGCCGTATTCGGTCCTTATTACAGGCAGAAAAGGCCCTCTACTCCTCTCCCCCCTGCCCCCCTAAGGGTCCTCAAGAGAGATGCTCGGTAGAAGTCGCTAAACAGCTGCATCCCAGTGTCTCCGTGGCTTGCCCTGGAGCGATTGCTGCGGGGTGAGCATGAGTCAGCCGCAGGTGACAGCTGGCGACGACCCGGAGCGGGAGGAGGTGGCGAGGTTAGCAGGCCTGCAGCTTGCACACTGAGCTGGCCACTGCAGTGACCTTTCCCGCTTTTCTTCCTCCCTTTGGCAGTTGACGTTCACATCTCCAAGCCTCCCCTGTCCCTTTACTCTAAACCCTGCCTCGTGCGAGTACATGAGTCTAAAGCCTAATGGCCGAGTGGACTCGACCAAGCAATGCAAACCAAAACCAACGGCTCGAGTAGCGCGCGAGATTTGCCAACCGCTTGCCGCCTGTTCAGTTCCCGGGACGATTGGCGCAAGAGAGGAGAGCCAGCCGAGGCTGGGGGTTCTTGGGTGATTGCTGATTACCATTGAAAAGGCAGTGGCATCGCTGGTTTCTGCGTTTCTGGGCAGCATAGCTTGTGCAGGACGGCCCGCGCCGCCCAGCTGGTGGCAATGCTGGTGGAAGGCATTCCGAGAATGTGGCGTAGGAGTTGCAGACCAAGGAAAACTGAGACACGGAGATTGAGACAAGCTGCATTGCTGTGTTTGCTCGAGCACGGCAGGAATCCGCAAAGCCGTGCCGACGAGGACAATTGGCGCCGGCCCAATGCAGATGTCCGACCCTCGGAACGTTGAGGCTGCTCCTTGTCGCATTTAGGGCGTGATGTCCAGCTGCGTCTCTTTTGGAAGGTCGTGGACAACCTGCTGTACCAACCCCTGCAAGCACCAAGGTACCGAGGTTTCAAGGCCACTGACCAAAATAGCATGCAATTGGACTCCCCAGTGATTTGTCAAACGCCTGTTTAATGAAAGCCGCTCTGCCTTCTGTCATAGGTTGTGACAGGAAAAGTTGGAAGACGGCGGGTTCGAACCAGAGATGCTCATGCTTCTTGCCAAGGAACCTCGAGGAGATGCCAGGGGAGATGCCGCCCCTGAACGCACGCGACCTCAGTTGATGCTTTTTGATTCTAGATGGTTCACATGACAGGGACACGTTGATTCGTTGATTCACATGACGCCACAAAACCTTCGATCGGCGACTCAAGTTCTGAAGTCTGCAAAGCCCGACATTGAACGAGGCAAGGAGCCGTGGCGACCCTCCCGCTCCAAGGGCGAGGGCCGTGACGGAGAAAACCCAGGCAGAGACGGCGAAAAGAGGAAGATCATATAATAGAGTCATGCTTCCTGACACTACTGTTTGCGCTTTTGCTTCTCTTGATGCCGCTTCTGTGTCAGGCCCATGGCGACCTTCACGCAAGGGCGAGGGCCGTGAGGAGCGGGAGGAGCCAAGAGCCGCTGCAGGCCCCGGTCGCGACAGCGACGAGACCAAAGCTCTCTGCTCTCCAAAGAGGATTCGGGGGCGCTTTGGCGCACAGCGACACGCAGATGTGAATCGATTGTAGTGTGGCAGGCGGAAAGGGCAGTGGCGGCCGTGGCGGCGATGATGATGCAGGCAAACGGAACTGGAGTCACAGCTGCTGCAGCGACTGAAACACATGGATACACATGGGGTGTTGTGAGGTTGAGGAACTGGAAGTTGTGGGAAGGGCTCGAGCTTGCGTAAATGGCTTTTGGAGCCAACTCCAGATCCTGCCTGTAATGTCGGTCCGGGATCAAGTAAAACACTGCGGCCAAGGATATTCCCGGTGTCGCTATGGTGTTCAAGCCGACAAGCTTTCACTCTTTGCTTCATGCGTTACGAAACGGTTGTACTGCTTCGGATGACGAAGGCGGCAGCACTCCCTGTCCTCTCCCTTGGGACCGTCGGTACATCGATTTGACAACCAATTCCCAACTCCGATGGCTTGCATGATCTTTTCATGCACAGCTGATTGACAAGATGAATCAACACAAACAAAATCGCTGCCCCTCGACACCTCTGCGAAACAACCCCAAGAGTAAGTGATGAAGATCCAGTTGCTGGGTCTGCGAAGCTTCATCAAAGCCACCGGGACCATCTGAAGCCCAGCAGAGCGCGGGCAGGCAGCTGGCGCCGACCGGCTGGAGGGCGCAGCGAGAACGCCGACAGCTGGCGACGCGTGGGAGCCCTCAGTCCACCGAACGGGCGAAGCCAAATATCGTGCCATTCGCTGCCAAGGACGACGCTCCGAGAAGGCAGGGGTCGCAGCGCGAGGACCGTCGGATAGTCTGGCAAAGGAGAGCCGGAGCCGGAAACTGAGACCTTACATTTTCCGAAAGGAGGATGCTGGATTTCGCCGTTCTGATTCTCGCCGAGAGGACACTTATCAGGTAAGAGGGCCACTGGCTGAAACTGCGCTTGGACCGTGGGCTTCCTTCCCGAGCTCCAAGAGCCTCCGATCCTCTGTGCAACCCCGGTCTGAAGAACTCCAGCCGTCAGCAGTCTGCCAGTTTCTGGCTGTTCCGCTTGGGCAGAAGCTTTGCACAAGACTCACCTTTTCCACCTCCCAAAGCCCAAATTCTGTGGTGTGGGCGTAGCGGCGTAGCGCCACAATTAAGACATTTAGGTCTAGGTGGCCACGATGGCTCTACCTGGGATTTCTCGATGAAGCTGTCTCTGGATCGAGCCAAATGACTGTGTGAGGAGAAGCCCGCTGACGAAGGCCCTCGCCGAGCTCCACCTCGCGAGGCCGAGTTGCAGAAGACGGATAAAGGTCGGCCCTTCGCCCTTGAGTTTAATCAACTGCAGAACTCATGCCTTCTGGCGCAGTCAATGCCCCGCACGTGATGCCACTACACGGACTCATCAAGAGCTCTGGCAGCTGCACAGCTTGTCAGGAAGCACGTGCGCCCGCGCGAGAGGTGGCGGGTTCGGATTTGGGCATTCAAAGCGGCTTAATTCCTGTAGCCACATGCTCATGGAGGCTGCACACCTTGTGTGCTTTGATGCGTTCCGATATGGCGGCTCTTGTGGCTTTTTTGGGCCTTTGCTCAAGACTCGAAAAAGCGTAGCCGGTCAGGTTTGCTACAGTCACAAGCGCATCTCTTCTGACTCCTTACGTTCCGCAGCAGGGCTCGAAGTACAGAGGGCCCGGGCCCCGAGCCTCACGCCGCCCCCTGCAGCGGCTGTGGCACCTCGGAAAGACCCCGCAGTGGGCTTATTAATTTGTCTTCTGCGGCCTTTGCCTGCCATGAGGCCCTGTCTCTCATGGCGGGGGTGATCGCCCAGCTGCCTGGTGGCACCTCTCATTTCGTCCCAGTGGAGCCGTCGCACCTTGGCAAGGTTTCAGTGGAAGGTGCTATCCGTCCTGTGTACTTTTCATCGTCCCGGGTGTTCATGAATAAACGTCAGGAAGTGACCGCTTGGTGGCGTTCTTCAGATGTAATGTTACGGTGACCAGGAGAAGCATTATCGCCTGTTTAACTACTGTTGCTTCTGTTCGGATGAATTATCTTCTGCAGTGTTTTCCCGAAGGCTCTTCGAAGGGTGCTTTGAAAAAAGTCGTTGCCTGCTTACACTACACACATGCTTACTTTGCGCTACTTACGCTGACTTACATGCACTTGCCGCAGTTGCCTGCTTGCATGCTTGCACTACTGCTTGCCTGCCTCTACACAACATGCTTGCCTTATACAAACTTATTAAATTCATACTAATTAAATACCAACCTAAGTAAGTCCCTCATACTCCCTTCTAAGTTAACTAGTCTCATTAGCCGGGGTAGGTCTAGCGCGATGAACCCTCTACAAGGATGCTGCGTGTCGCGGCGCTGGTGCTGTGGTGCGGTGCAAATTTTTTTACGTGGCCAATGAACGCGTGCTAGGCGCTTTCGCTGTGGTGCGGTGCAAATTGTCTTTGCGCTTTCGGAACCCTCTACAGGGATCGTGCGTGTCCTTCAACATCATGCACCGATGAACCCTCTGCGGGGATCGTGCGCGTCGCATCGCTGGCGCTGTAGTGCGCTGTGGTTCCGTGTGCATTTTCCTCGCCGATGAACCCTCTGCGGGGATCGTGCACGCCGCATCGCTGGTGCTGTGGTTCCGTGCGCATTTTTCTCGCCGACAAACCCTCTGCGGGGATCGTGCGCGTCCGAGGCGCTCCTGCCTGTCCGTCCATGTCGCTGATGAACCCTCTGCGGGGACCGTGTGTCGAACACAATGCAACACGCGGAACGCCATTCGGGTGGCTGCTCGTCCAAGATGCTATTTTCGAGTAGAATCGCAAAAGGCGCAAGGAGCACGTCAAAGCCGCTTCTGTTACGCCAGGGCAACCCCGAGAGCTACCTGGCACCAACATCTGCGACGACCTGGCCGAACGACCCGACCGAAGCCTTTCCTGGACACTTTGGGGCCTTCGAGCAGGACGATCCAGGAACCGTCCCGCCACCCCGAGCTACGAGATGGTTGCAAACCGGATTTGAGGTCCCCGGTGGCCAGCCCACCTGCGGAACTTATGCTACCGTCCCTGCGGCACCAAGGGGAAGCTCCATCCATCCGTGGCGCCTCCACTACAACGACTACGACCTACTTGCCCAGATGCACTTCGATGATCGTCCGGGGGATCACCCCGCAGCAAGCTGGTGCTGCCCCTGCTGTCGCAGCACAACCACCACCTGTTGCCTTTCAGCAACCAGTCCAATACGCCTCGCCAAGCCGAATTGAGGAAGATCCCCTGCAATCCCAGCCAACGTCGTCCTGGACAATAACATTGCCTTCTACAATATGCCGACAGAGCCCTACGACCCGCCTGACCAACTGGAGTTTGAACCGCATCCACCACGAGGAGAACGGAGCTCTTCGAGGCATCCGGAAGACACTCAGTCGATGCAAACGGGCCGTGAAGCCCTGCGTGCCGACGCTGACCTGAAGGACGCTGCCGAGAACCTTCAGCAGTTTGAGAAACGCAAGGGCCTCGTGGCTGTCGCCTTGAGCCGCCGCTTGCGCCCTACTTTCGACGTCTTTGACGACGACCACCTCCCAGGCCCAGGCCAAGTCGACGAAGGACCGCTCCCAGGTCCAGTTCAAGATGATGAAAGGGGAGTAGCCCCTGCAAACACGGATGACGACGACTGCGTGCAGGTGAACAACCCGGGCCCTGTTGCACCTGCCTTGCCTTTGGGGGCTCCTTCAGCGCTTATTGCCCAGCAATGCAATCGGCTCCCCCAACTTGTACAACAGCACGATGCCCAAGGGAATGCCCCGTATGGTCTGGCCAACTACCCGACAGACGAGGAAAAAATGCATACAGGTCGGCGCTCAAAGGTGACTATCGGGCAAGAAAGCGGAATCGCGGTGACCCACGTGAACAAAAGTGAGATGAGTCGCTTGACGCGGTGCTTGCTACGAGTGGGTTCTCTTGTCTCTTGTTCCTTGAGGGTTCAGTGCGACAATGGAGCCTGACTTTACGTTCCGGCATGCATGTATGTTTAAACTCTCGCTCAACGCATCGATCTTCCCTCGATCTGCGCAGGGGCGAAACCCCCTGTTTTGTTTTTTTGGTATTTCTTTATCAGACGGGCCGCCGGAGCCTCCAAATTCCTCGAGAATGCGCCTCCTACCCGGGGTTATGCATACTGCATAGCTTCCTGTAGTTGCCTGGCCGGTACTTTGTCAAATACCTTCATGGCGAGTGCTAGACTCGATTGCAACCTGGCCACTACCGGAGCACCCTTTTGGGATTCTTGTTTGCTTTCGAGGCTTGTCGTGCTTTTGCGGGGGACTCCCGAGTTTGCATCGGATTGCTCTTTTCTTCAAAGGCAGACTTTTACGTACAGGGGACCGCAGTTTGCCTCTTTTGCTTTTTCCCTTTCTGGCACCCGCAACAGTCGGGGGCGCCCTTCTCACCACAGCCCTGGCGAAAGAAAAAAAGAGTGTGTGTGTCTGTGGTTGCGTGTGCGTGCATGCCTCTGTGTGTGTGTTTTCTTCTCCAGCTAGTTGTTTGTGATCGTGGGCATGTTGTCTGTGCGGTGCACAACGGACGCCTGGCCCGGTGGTCCTACTAGTTTCATCAGAGGAAATTCCTCTGCACCACGTATCGATCGTTGGAGCTGCGCACTGTTTCGTCGCATTGATTCGAGACGCCGCTTACTTCGGAATTGCGACAACATGTGGCTGATCCTGTGGACTTGTGTACGAGTAGTTATCAACTTATGAGCACCGGCAAGGGACAGTCGCATGTTCCGTGCGTCTGCAGCCCGACATGTTGACACGGTGTCCAGAGTGATGAGTTTTCTCCTTCCGCCTTGCTATCTCGTCCGTTTCTTCCTGCTGGACAGTAGGTACATTTTAGCTACCATGGGTAGAATCACCCGACAGGTGCTTGCATGTGCTTGGGTGCCAACTAGCATTGGTTTTTCGCTTCTTCGAGACGCCTGCCAGGTTGGAGCTTGAGTGTGTCTCTGAGTTTGGCGTGTCTCTGTAACATCTGTCTCCGGGTGCCCGTGTCGGTGGATCTGTCTGTCTGTCTGTCTGTCTGTTTGTCTGCCAGTCTAGGTGCGTGTCCGTCGGTGTCCCCATCCGCTACACACCCCTACTTAAGTGGTTTGAACAACCACGTGCCACACACTGCAGGCTTCTCGGGGGCCCCTTGGAAACCGCAGAGCTTCTTCGGCACTTCCTTGACGCAGAGCTTTTTGCGAGGAGGCCGAGCCGATGTTCAAGAGTCAGCTAGTCTAGCCGTCTTGCATTCCACATCATCTGTAACAAGAAGTTTCTGAATGATGGATGGTATTGAAAGGGTCTACCCGGAGTCTACCCAACCTCGAAGCCATCTGTTCCAAAGGCTTCCTTTCGGTGACAGTCTATTGCCCAGAAGTCCATGCATGTTGTTGAGACAAGTGAGCCAGTGGATCAATGCCAGGTCGGCCACCTCCAGCGACGATGCGGCTTGACTAAGCTGGCAATGCTCTGTGCGTTTAGATGCAGTTTAACTCATCCAAAACCCCACACCCTTGCGGAGTCCGGCGGTTCTCCCGCCGAGCTGAGGACGAGGAGGGGCTGGTGTCGGCATTCGGCCGTCTCGACCTCGAGGAAGGGTTTCTAATTCCGAATTCGGAATGTACCAATCCAAAGCTACGCGATAAAGATCAGATATTTGTGAGACCATCAGGCACGTATGCGTGGATAGATGGATGGATGCATGCAGCCATCGGTCCATTTACATACGGCAATCAGCCCAGCAAGAGAGCAAGCCATCGATCAGTGTCTCAGCCAATCAACCAACCAACAAAGCAAAAGACAGACAGAGACAGTGCTGACCACGTCTAGAACCTTCAGCAAAATCTCCGGCCTGGCATAGCAGGAATCCATCGAAGTGGAGGAGTACCGCGTTCTTTACCAGGGTCGGGATCTGGAGTGCGAGCTACTTATGCGGCATTGATGGCAACAACCAACTCGCAACCGAAGCCTTGGATCAGCAGGTGGTGTGCGTCCGACTGCTGTAGACTTTTCTTGGCTTGATCTCAGGAAGACGGCCGCGCAATTTCTGGAGTCTCTCGATGCTGGACAGCAAGCCAAGATCCAGTTCAGCCTGTACTTGGGAGTGAGCACTTGACGGAAGCGCGCCCTGCATATCAGCACCACTCCTGTATCACGTGCATGCGCGGATGTGCAGCCTGCAAGGAAGATGGACGGCCTTGCTTCGTGCGAATTGCGTTTCGTCTTCTGGGTGGATCTTCAGCTGCATAAGCACGGCCCGCTTGGGCTCATGCCCCATACACAGTGCAGTATTGTGGGTCCGTGAGGGAGGTTGCCATAGGTTGGTTATGCGGTTCCGAATTAGACAAGAAGCCATTCGCTCGACAGCCTTTGTGCTCTTGTGGCATAATTAAGGCAAGGGCGGCTTCGGGTCCTTGCTGCGGTCACAAAAGGGAGGTGCCGCGGCAGCAAAAGCTGTCCCCTGTTCACATATCTCTAATCCTATTTCTTGTTCACTATACGATGCATGACAATCCCGATACTGATTGCAAAGCTGAAGAACAGGCAAGAAGACGACGAACTTTGATGCCATGCGCGACCTAAACGGCCGAAGGGTTCGGCATGTGAAAGCAGTCACTTGGCTGGAGTTCAAGCAGATGTTCTGTGCCAGGCATGCCAGATGCCTTTAGCCAAGTCAGTTCAGCTGTGCTCACAGGTGTCCTCAACAGACAAGAGCCAGGAACACCACTTTTTCTTGCACCTGTCTGCTCGTATGCAACCATTCAATGAGGTCGAAAGAATCAAGGAGTGGCTGGAGAAAAAGAAGAGAGCGACCAAGCTGAACAATGCGGCATCGAAGTAGACGTACTAGAAGGAGCAGAGGTCCAAGAACGAGAAGCAGTAGGAGCATAGAGTAGAAGGAGAAGTAGAAGAAGTAGCAATTTTTGTAGTAGTCGTCGTCGTTGTAGTAGCAGTAGTAGCAGTAGCAGTAGCACTAGCAGTAGCAGTAGTAGTAGTAGTAGTAGTAGTAGTAGTAGTAGCAGTAGCTAGCAGTAGAAGGAGCAGTAGCAGTAGCAGTAGCAGCAGCAGCAGGAGGAGGAGGAGTAGTAGGAGTAGTAGGAGCAGAAGGAGTAGCAGGAGTAGTAGGAGTGGTAGTAGTCGTCGTCGTCGTAGTAGCAGCAGAAGAAGAAGTAGTAGTAGTAGTAGGAGTAGTAGTAGTAGTCGTCGTCGTCGTCGTCGTCGTCGTTGTAGTTGTAGTGGGTAGTGTAGCCTCGGGCGTCTTGCCGGCATACAATCCAAGCCCCTGCTCAAAAAGTTGGTAGTGTAGCAGAAGTAGCAGCAGCAGTAGCAGCAGAAGTAGCAGTAGCAGTAGCAGTAGAAGTAGCAATAGC